AATCCCGTACATTTCTAAAACGGATATACAATTATTAACTGCCCGTTGTAAATTTTTAATTTCCGTACCGCGTTCACTCATTACCGATGGTAGGTTAAAGAGCGTTTTTAATTGGCTATTAACCATTATCCTCTTATTTTCATAGCGGTCGGATAAATTTTGCCAAGCAGTCGCGAAACCGTCTTTAGTTAAAGGCGATTTTTTTACGATATCTTTCGCTTCACCGTAAAAATTTCTGTGTCACATGGAGGTAAATGGATACTCGAGCGGGCCGGGGGTTCAATCTCGCTATTTACCGGATTAACTGTCGAACTACTTTGCTGCGTGAACGTCAGGTTATGAGCCGTCTCTCCCATCAATGCACCGCACGTCAAGTATGCTGAGTAGCAATCCTGGTATCTGCACTTCGCCAGCCGAAGTGCAGCCTGACCTGTTTCGTCGTCCGACACCTTTTTCGAGTAGTCATCGAACGCATCCTTCACCTTGACCCAGAGCGCCTTCAGTTCCTCCTTTTGGATCTCCAGCAAAAAAATGGAATGGCTGCTACACGGCATGTTATTGAAGCCCGCTTCGAATTCCAACAATGCATCACACGCCCGTGAAAAATCATTAACATTGGCCATCCTTCGAATATTAATTTAATTAACACGAAAAATTTAAAAACAAACGTCAATTGTACCACTGAACCTCGAGGTAAATTACTATTTTCGCGAATTATCGACAACAACGTCAAAAAATTGATAAAACCACGTACTATCAATTAATTTAATTAAAACGAAAAATTTAAAAACAAACCACTATTACAATTTTCGCGAATTATCGACAACGACGACAAAAAAAAACGATAAAACCACGTACTATCAAAAAAGCGTAATAAAAAGATCGTCTAAAGAGTTTATTTAATGTATTTGGAACTTGAGTCAATATATACAAAACTATATTCGATTATTTTGTTAATTCAAACAAACGTACTTATGACTCGCAAAGTTCCACGGGTTATTTGTATTATATCAAAAAGAGTTTTCTCTCAGTGTACCGCACAACCTGAGGGATACTTATGTGGAAAAAATCGATGTTATGTGGTCCGTTTACGGGCCTTCTGCCTCAACCACTTTTGCTCAATACTTTAAGAATCCCGTCAAACAATTTAAAGGTGCCGCGGTATCAAACGTTAAAACTGACAACCGTAAGAAAACTCAGAAAAATTTATAAAAATCTTTATTTACTTTATATATTAACAAAGAAACTGTACAAAACTCAATAATTGAGGTTGTCGAAACTTCGACGAATTAATTTGATTTTTCTCAAAAACACAAAAAAACACCTTTTTGTAACGGATGCTGAGTCCTGCAATTCGTGGCACAATTTCAATTTCTTTCTTTTCTTTTCTTTTCTTTTTTTCTTTTTTTTTTTATATATATAAACACAACGGTGTGTGGATATGGTAACCCAAAGGAATTTCCGCTATTCCTCCACCACTTTACCGCTTGAATTTCGCGAAAAGGAACGGATTATCCTACCCCGATACCGTTTAAATTTCGAAAATGTATATACGCATTAAAAAATATATATGTATATATATACTTATATATGGAAGGGGTGGCTCTGGGACTCACGCACGACCTATTGCAATTTTCGCACCCCTTTCCCAGTCGTTTTTCGCGAATATACGTGGCAAATTGAAAGGCTTACCTTATCTTACAGCTTACTCTGTTGCCACTAATGGGGCTGTGCTCCCGCGATGGGCCACTTGGTGGGGGCCTTGCTGGTTATTTTGCACCCGCGGTGGGCCACTTGGTGGGCGCCTTGTTGTTTAATTTGCTCCCGCGGTGGGCCACTTGGTGGGGGCCTTAATTTGGCGATGTTGCTCCCGCGGTGGGCCACTGGTGGGGGCCTTGCGTTTAATTTGCTCCCGCGGTGGGCCACTTGGTGGGGGCCTTGCTGGTGCGAACTGGCTATCGCGGTGGACCACTTGGTGGGGGCCTTGCTGGTGCGAACTTGCTATCGCGGTGGACCACTTGGTGGGGGCCTTTAATTTGCGTGTTGCTCCCGCGGTGGACCACTGGTGGGGGCCTTGCTGGTGCGAATTTGCTATCGCGTTGGACCGCTTGGTGGGGGCCTTGTTTCGCACTGAACGCCTGACTGTATGGCACCTAGTGCCGGCGTTCAGCACTTGCGCCTCCTCAATGGCAATACAGCCGGCGCTCTTACTAACTATCGGCTGCTGGTAGGGGCCGTGCAGCGAGGCGCACTGACGCCTGACGGTATGGCACCTAGTGCCGGCGTTCCGCACTCGCGCCTCGACAAATGGCAATACAGCCGGCGCTACTTTTAACCTCACTGCACTTCACTTTCACTTTCACTGCACTTACTCTTTATACTTACCGCCGGAGCCCTGGCGGTATTTGTGCTGCTGCTTTTCTGGAGCGCTGGCGAAATTATTGTTGCAGTTGCTCCTGCAAATAAACACAATTAGTACTCCAAATATACTTACTATTCCAATACTTATGTATTTCGCCGCTACTCCAATTGTTGGGGCCAAATGTGTTGCTCCTGCTCCAGGTGTAGAAAAAGGTGCTCCAAACAAACTTTCGTTCACTCACCTGGTCTTCTTGATGGTATTTACAAGGAAATACCAGAGAAAAGATTTGTTGCCAAAAACGTGTGAATTTGCTAATTGATTTTTTTTGGTTATGTTTTTATTTTTCTTAGGGTTCGTTCGGAAACGTCAAATTGTTGGGGGTATTCACCAATGAATATAATAAAAAACCAAAGATGGTGGCGGGTTTCACGGATGAATGCAATATAAAAGTTGTTTGATATGTTTAATTGCACACGATTCGACGTGTACAAGAAAATAAAAAGCGTGTTAACGGGGGGCGCGATAAAAATTCTCCTTTATGAAGGCAACTTGGCAGTTTATGAAAAATGTTTATTTCTTCGAAGTTTTATCACTTTTATTTTATTTTTAAGCAAATGTGGGTCAACCACGAAAAACTTCAAGCCTATCCGGCTCGAAGGACCATGTTCGGGACAGGGTAAAATGGGGGCCGGGAATTCCTCTTGAATTCCGCGGCAAATGAGGGTCGAGGAGGTGCCGAGTCCCTGAAGTCCTTCGAGGGTTGAATTTAACACACTTAAATTTGCTCAATAAAATTAAATAAAACACTTCACTTTTTATTCGTATATAGGTATATATATATGTGAGAGCCTAACGGCCACTTTATTATATATATATATGTGTATACAAAAAAAAATGCTGTAATAAAAATATGTAACAATAGATTGATTAGTAGAGGACCTTACTTGTTGATTGCTCGGAGTTCTCTTCCAAAGTGGCAGAGTGTTGGGCGATCGCAGAAGGCGAAACCTAACATCCGAGGCAGGTAACAGGACTCGAGACAAAGGAACTCGAGTAACGAGTAACTGTTCCCGCTTAGATCACAGCGACATCTACAAGTGAAATTCTCTACTTTATAAACATACTTAAGGTGAAGGGGGCTAGCGTAAACACAGGTATTTTAGCAACAGTGCTTTTTTGGGATCAGTTTTTGACTAGTTAGGGCTTTTTTTGATATCATTTCAGAACCTGTATGGGTCTAGTTCAGGACATTTTCGAGACTAGTTTGGAAAAAAATCGGGGTCAGTTCAGGACTTTATCGGACCTAGTTCGGGGCCATTTTGCGATTACTTTGGATATTTTTCGGGATTATTTTGGGACTAGTTCAGGCGTTTTTGGAGACCATTTCTGGCCTAGTTCGGGACACAGATTCACACAGACTCACGCCTTCCTTCGTCTTTCATCCGCTGAGTTAAAGCCCACCCCGAACCATATTTATCTAGTCTACGTAGTCCACATAAAATGAATATTAATTAATAGGAAGCTTTAAGAATGGATGGGACTGCTTATGTTTCATCTGCGGCAAAAATTTTCACGCGTGTTGAGCTTTTTTAGGGTTTCTATTATTATGTAATGAAAGGTTAAAATTTAGTCTGAAGCCAGAGCTTTTCTAGCTTTTTATAAATTTTTAATGGACGCCGAGGTGTAACTACTTAGTAGGCAAGAATCCTTAGAGTATTAAGTTGTCAGTACATGTTATATAGCGCTAGTATGAATAAAAGCTCTATCTGGTCAACACTAGAGTCTGGCTCAGTCAAGAACAAAACATAAGACGTTTTGTCGTCTCTGATATAGAACAGCGATGGGCAAATAGAGCTTTAACTCTGCATGCCTATATATCCGTACAAACTGTATAGAAAGCTTAAAAGAGCTTTGAGCGCGAGCAAGGTGTTGCCCACCACCGGTTTATACATACACAAGCTAACAGCTTCCTTCACCTCTTTTCGCATATATATATGGCCCTGGTATGCCATGAAAGCTCTCTCTGGCCAACACCACTCTGGTTATTTTGAAAACCAAATGTGTCTAACATTAGCATAATTTACCTCGCGCTTCAAAATTTTGGTATTTGTATTCTGGATCGAGCTATTTGTATTAAAGTTAGCCATAAAATTCATAGCCGACAAGACTAAATTTTATCCCGTAAAAGTTTTCAATAGATTTTATATAGAAGTACACCAAGTAAACGTTTTCTTTTATAGAGAAGTGCTCTTCGATTCCAAATCCATTTAAAATTTTGGCTTTACATTGGCCAATCATTCGAACCCAATATTAAGGGCATTTTTCGAAAGCAGAAAAGATTCTCGCCACCCCTCGCTATCGCTTTTTCAAAGAGCTTTTAAGCTTGTATTAATTGGGTTATAATATATGTAGTTTTCCTAGAATTGTCTAGCATGCTTTGCAAACTTTAATGCTTTCTAACTAAATTAAGTTCCTAACGCTTAACGCACACAGCCTAATGTAAGCACATTTCGCACTTCCTTAAATACCTTATCTAAAGTGATTCCTTTGGAGTATTGAAATTCAATTAGACGCTCACAACACAGATACGAAATGAATTTAAAAAGTGCCAAAAGAAACAACATCATCATCATTTACTGTTATGTATAAAAAAGATCTGTATTAAATTCATCATCAACTTTACACATTTCCTTTACATTTTCGTACAATGTTAATTATCGACTTACATACTAACAAATGTAGAGATGCAAATTTATAAGTATGCGTGTATGTATGTATGTATGTGGTTTCGTAAGAGTACAACATAAACAAGAACAAAATCGGAGAGAGTTTGATAGAAATGTAATAAAAAAAAATTGACAATTCGTGAGCAAATTAAAATTAACAATTAAATGTAAGTGTAAGTGAATTAAAACTAAGAGAGCGATATTATTAACATTTAAACATTTCTTTATTTATTTTTTTTTTATGTATAACGCACACATTTAAAATTAAAAACATCATTTAACATACATTTAAAAAAACATAATTAAATATGAAACAAACAGCCGCATTGCGAAGGCTAAAAAGTGCGCGCGAACAAGGAGCCGATACAGACGAAAGAAGAAGAGAGAGAGGGAGAGGCGGCTTTTAAAGAGCGCTCGCTGCACAAATCGCCAATGCTGCGGTTATTAGAAACAACAAAAATAACTACATATATCAAAGAACTAAAAAATAAAAACGGCAATAAAGTTTTCGTAGATCTTTCGAGTAGCTTTTTGATGAGCTTTCGATGAGCTTTCGGTGAATTCATGAATGAACTTCAAAATCGTTATAAAAAAATTCTTTAAAACAAAAACATGAGCCAGCATGAGCAGGCATTTCGAGGCTTATCTGGTTGTCACACGTTAAATTTTTTTTCGCTTTTCACGTTGCTTAATAAACAGTAATCAATTAGTTAATTAATAATAAAAAAGTAGCTTTTTCATAAGGATATACATAGTAAAAAATCGTAGCGTATGTTAGTAATAGTACGAGTAACAACAACGAAGAAAATTTGCAAACAAAAAGTCACCGACTTTACTAGTTAGTCCAAAGTGCATAAACAACTTCTGCAAAATTTCGTAAATATTTGCTAAACTTACAACACTGCTACACGCTACTCAATGGATAATTCTCAATCTCATTCTTATACCCCTAAACTCCAATTAATTTCTCCACTTTTATCATTCACTTCTTTTCACATCGGCATTTGGGCTTCACCTTCACCTTCACTTCTTCTAGTATAAACAAAAAATGCTTTGGATCCGTTTGCTTAGTTTCGCACACTTGCTCTATTGATTTGCTTCTTCACGCTTTGCCGCCTCACGCTTAGTGCGATGGTGCACCATACGATGAGCTAGGCGCTGAGGAGGCGAATGGCGCTGCTGGTGCCCCATAATCGCCCGATGGTGGTGGCGAAATGCTGTTCGGATATGGACCGGTCTCTTCCTTTTGTGTCTTGTAGCGAATAAAGTAAACTTCTGGTTTGCTGGGCTGCGTGGGCGCTGGTGTGGGTATGACAATCTCGGGCTGCTCTTCCGGTTTCTTCACCAACACGTAAACCAGTGTCTTCTCTTCGTTTTGTGGGAAGACTGGAATCACTGGCGCTGTTGGGGCTGGTGGTGATGGCGCCTTAATGAAGACGATTTTGTAGTGCTTCTGTGGTGGTGGGAAGACAATGGGTTTTCTGTGTCGGAATAAAGGAGAAATAGAGAGAAAAAACATTTTATGATTACTCATATGACATTTTTCTTGAGAATATATTGTAATATAAAATTAATTTTTAAATTGTTAAATAAAGGGAATGTTCTTCAACACGTAGGTCCTTACTCTTATTTTTTAATATAAAGTCATTCATATCTAGATTTAGTTTTGGGGAGCCCTATTATGCAAAATGAATATGTATATAGAAAGCTTGAAAAAGTTCTATACCGTTTTATATCTGGAGTATAGACACAGCTTTAAAAGTATGTATATACTTTTTAGAGCAGTCATGCCCAACGCTGGCAGAACTACATTAGCAAGTGCCCTGCGCTAGACATGCCTGTTTTAGAGGCTGTATGTTGACCCCGCAGGGTAAAAGCTCCACCCGTCGTGTTAGATTTAGAAACAGCTACAATTTTCTAAATCAGTGTTGCCTATATCAGCTTCTCCCCTGTACAACGATTGGTCGTGGCTGGTGACTGGTCTATATAAAAAGCATAGAAAGCATAAAAAGCTCTGCGTGCATGCCGTGGGCGCATGTACAACTTTCGTAAGACCAAAACATCCAAACACGCAGTAGAAAAAATGTAAATGTCGTACCTTATATGGTATTGACCAAGTTTTCTCATTAATTTTCCAAATACTACCAAAGTCATTTTTCTACTCATTTTTCAAAACTCCTACTTAAACTCATTTTGCTATATTTTTTACTGAATATGAGATTACGTGTTTCATCTGATAGTTTATTATAGTGTTAATAAATAGTAGCAGAAATAAGAATAAAAAAGTACAAACAATTATTTAAAATAATTTTGTTCCCATAAATGGAAAACTAAAAAGACTTTGGCATTTGCAATGACTAGGTATTGTCTGTTGATTTTCTAAATAGGTTTTAAGTACTTTTTCTAGTGCTCTTTTAAAAATAAAATTTTATTTACTTTTACGCTAATTAACGTTTACTCTAATCTGTACTTTATCTAAGTTTTCTCGTTTAATTTGATTTTATGTGTTGCTAAAAAATAGTAGCAGAAAATTAAGTAATAAAGGGAGTAAGAATATTAGCAAAAAACAAGTAAGAAAGTCTAAGTTCGGGCGGAGCCGAACATTAAATACCCGGCGCAAGTATTAAATATATGTTTTTTCACCTTTCCGAAACCTTCCGCTAGATGTTAAGCCGGGGTGTATAAATTTTGAGTAAATTAGCGTCCTTCAATTTCGAAATATTGAAGTTTCAAGCAATTTACCGTTATATGAGAAGCGGCCGTTATTTTAGTCCGATTTCAATAATTTTCAACGGTTTGCTTATATGTGGCAAGCACAATAACCACACCGAGTTTGGTACAAATTGGTAGAACGGTTACCGATATACTTATTTCTTGGTAAAGAATTGTTGCAAGCATCAATTTTGAATAAATTAGCTTCAATATTTACTGATTTATCGAAGATTATGTATTTCTCTAAATTACCGTTATATGGGAGGTGGGCGTGGTTATTGAGCGATTTTAAAAATTATCGGACATTTGGTATGTTGTGCGAAGACCAACAACTGTGCCAAGTTTTGAAGAAATTGGTGCAGCGGTTACCAAGATATACACATGTAACCATAAGTGGGCGCGGCTACGCCCATTTTCCAAAAATTTATAATATTATTTTTCGTCTAAAAATTATTGTAAATATCAATTTTGAGTGAATTATCTTCAGTAGTTACTAAAATATCGCAGTTTTCGTATTTCTGGAAATTACCGTTATATGGGAAGTGGCCGTGGTTATTGTCCGATTTCGCCCATTTTCAATACCAACCTACCTTGGGTTAACAGAAACCTACATACCAAATTTCGTGACGGACGGACAGACGGGCAGACGGACGGACAGACAGACATGGCTTAATCGATTTCTTTTTTCATTCTGATCATTTATGTATACATTTGTCTATATCTATCTCGATTCGTTTTGGCTGTTACAAACAACCGTTATGTGAACAAAATTAATATACCCTTGTGCACAAGTGCGCTCGGGTATAAATATAACGCTACCTAAAGGTGAAAAGGTACCAAGTCCATTTTTTCAAAATTTAGTCTAGGCAATACGAAACTACAACGATTTTTCATCTCTCCTGAACAATTCCAAAAAATGGACTTGGAAACTTTTCGCCCTAAGGTGACGAGTTTTCTGTGATTCTCCAAATTTCTTAAGAACTATTTTGACTACTCTTTTACAATCACTATGTTCTTTACCACGGATATGTGAATAAACTTGGAACCAACTAGAAGATGGCACGGCTGCAAATGAATGTCACTAAGCTCCAATTTCAATATTTGTAAGTT